GAAAAGAGACCACGGAGAGGTTCGTGATGGGCAGGCGTTCACAGGACATGACTGAGCCATCAAAGGTGGTGTAGAGCGATTACTTCTATTAGAGAACAACTACCAGAACCCAAAACACAACGGCAAATTTTGTCATTCCTCATCCGATGCTCTCATCAGACACGAGGAATGCTTTGAAGAAATCGCTGGTTGAATACAGAAAATCGATTCGCATCTTGAATGCGAAGGGGCGAAGGGTCTCGCAAACGTAAAGCAGAACACTACGAACCGTGGCTATGTACGCCTTTTTTTTAAGAGTCTGTCAGATGTCGTGGCGGTACCACAGGTGTCGCAGATTGGCAAAAGCTATGCTAGCTTTCGCTATTCTGAATGTGATTATCTCCTATCCAACACCATCTCTAGCTAGGATTAAACCCCCGATGTCCTTAAAACCCTCGATTATTTTTATCCGGAAAGGATGAGTGCAAGCACAAGGTCTTGAACCGTCTTGAACACGCACTTGGCATTTGGATGGTGCACAGAACATATCCTATTTGAATACCTCTATCGCCAAGTGATCCAAAGCTTGTTGGACTGTTTGTGCATTGTCACCCAACAAAGTGAACGCAATGTGAAAAAGACCAGTGAATTGGTGGCATGATTACCAGGAAATGCAAACGGATTTCAAACTGGTACCTCCCTTTCTGGTTTCATACGATTGCGTGACTATTATATCGTGGCTGTAGTCTGTAACAAAACGTCTGCATATGTGCTCTTGTATAAGGGGAAAAAAACGGATAACCTCAAAATACACCGCACTCGATATGGGATGTCTTTTTGACGTGACAGACAACACAATTATGGAGTGTCCATGCCTCTGTACAGTGAAGAGAGAGAGAGAAATGACAAATTGTCCAGCGGATTCAATGAATCGCTCAACACTGAAAAGCCCGGATTTTGTGCATATCCGTCCAAACCATAGGGGATTCGAACCGGAGTAGGAGGAGTTTTCCTGATCGGACGCATTCACTATATGTATTTCCCATCTTCCGCTTGAATTTGCTTCGACATTCCAATCTTCACTTCGCTCTTTTATAGGCAGCCAAAACCGGCGCACAAAAGGGCATGGTTAATGGTTGTAAAAACTGAAAACTGCATTCACTACGCTACCTATTCGGACTGGTTTACGACATCTTGGCACATGATGTCGATGGACTTAATCAGACAATGGTCAAATTTATGACGCACGACTTCTCATCTGCTATAGCCGAGCTGAAAACCTGCACCGAGGTGGAACTCGATCAAGACAACCAACCACTACCGTCTCGCTATTGAACGCTTCACTTCACTGGGTTGCTGAAATGAATGAATGAATTGAGTAACGATCGATCGTGTGTTGGCAACAGAGAGAAGTTAGCCGTGGTTTGCCCCATGGGATGGCATACGGTCGGTGCACAGAAATGAGGGCCTGAACACATCTCACAGAAAATACAACATAGACACACAGAGAGCGAGAGTTTTGCGGATTGGACGGAGACGTGTACCTTGTTTGTGATCTTTGCACTGGCCAAACGTTGACCGCTAGCTCGATCCCACACATACAACGTGTTATCCTCCGGACTGCCCAAACTGACCAAGTAACGAGCGGACGGACTGAATCGAACAGCGACAACACGAAAATGATGCCCGGCAAACTCGGCCAACTGGGTCCCGTCAGCCACGTTCCACAAACGAACCATAGGTTGATGCCCAGACTGAAAACCATGCCCGCGTGGGTGGGTGGGGGAGGCGCAAAAAAAACGGCATAGCATGCGTGAGTGTAGGTAGACAAAGTAAAGCGGTTTGCGAAGTTGATTGGGGTGAGGGGGGGGGGGGAACGAAGTCAATTAAAAAAGCAAACAAACACGGAAAGTAGAATTGAACCGGCACGAAAAGGGGATGGGATTGTCAAACGCGGATAAACAACACCAGTTTGGACAAGGTCGGAACAACAGAAATAGGAAACAAAGTACGTAATGAAACTGGAATTCAAGTTGAATTTAAGTTTCATTCCGTGCAAAAGCAATTAACACTCATTATCTTGTTGAGCAATCTGTCACACCAGTTTGTTTTGTTTGTTCAAATCCAAATTTTCACTATGGGAAAAAAATCACGAAGACTTCGTTTCTCAAATCCCATAGGTTGTTTGCACTTTGGTTCGGAACACGATTCACAAGATCACAGCTAGTCCATGAAAGTAAAATAGTAATGTAATGTTTTTGACCAGCACAGGAGAATATATTATGTAGATGGGTGTTGAAACATAATGTTTGCCAGAGCATTATCAAACTGACGCTTGAAAGCTACTAATGTTGGCGCACAGACCATGTGAGGTGGTAGAGAGTTCCATTCGCTGCACACTCTGACTGCAAATGAATGGT